GAGGCAGTTCTGTATCCACTTCCCTCAATACTACCAACTCCATTTGTCGTGGAACGTTCTAAACATTATATAACATCTGAAATGTCAAACTAGCACTTTATTACTCCTCCAAAACAAACTCACACTTTCGCTTTGTGTCCAGGTGACAGCTTACGTGTGTGCTGATTATTATCCTCGTATCTTTTTTTAGATCACAAACTCCTAAAATGAAGCATTACCCCTTGTGACCCACTAACACACAAACTGTTGAGAGACCATGTGTTGATTTTGTTCCTTTTTCCAGAGTTTTATCTGTCTGTAAGCATGTGGTAAAGCTATAAAGACTTATTTGGGTGAATTGCGATGTACATACATTCACAAAATATCTCTGTGTAACATTAGTACTGATAAAATAATTTAAAGCTATGTAAAAAATTTTAAACCAGATATCAAAGATTATAGGGCCTGATTTCACAATGCATAATTTACAGTACACATGACCATCTATATTTCTTTTGGTTGTATTTACTTTTATTCTGCCATTTTTACGCCCATCTCCACGTTGGGTCTTGATGTACAATCCTTTGATTTTTGTTTTTTATTTTACTTCTACAGATGTATCATGTGACATCTACATTTATTATTTCACTCTTCCTTGAGGCACGAGGCCTTTTAATGAAGCGCTACAGTTTCTCTGCGTCATCTCTAGAGCTTGTATTTGTGTCCTTTGAAGTTCTCATTCCTTTCAATTGAATAATCGCTTGTATGGCTTATGAACTAACCCTATGGCCTCCCAGTTTAACATACCCTACATATATATGCAAATGCAAGACATTAAAGCTATGCAAAGTCAGTTTCATGCAGGATAAAGCTATCTTCTTTGATCTCTGCCTCCATGCAGTCTTTGATAAATTAAGGCAGTCCAGTCTGACCAGTTTCTTGCAAGATCTGGGAGTTCAATCATGTTTACTTTAAGTCTTAAATAACTTTTAGATGCATGGCACATATCTGTGTGAAATCATCTTAAATTGACAAGTAGGTTTTGGTGAAATCAGTAAAACCTGAAAATTAGCCTTACATATTGCTACCTTGAGGAAACGGGTGTTTTAGTTCTATACAGTTGTTATATACAACTGTGCCATGTATTTGGAATGTGAAAGCCAGCATTGTTATTTATGTTTTTGCACACATGTATGTTGCAACTCTTTAAAATCAAATCAAGAATATTTACCTATCTATTTCTTAAAAAAAAAAAAAGCAGCTGGGTATTGTAGTTGAAATTAAACAGCATCTAAACATAGGTCACTACTTGAGGACTATTTTCTAATGCGGAATAATAGATATTTGGTGCTCTAGTAAGTATTTACAGCAGCACGATGGTGTATGTGGCATTGCGTCAAATAAACTACAGTGTGGGTTTATGAAGGAATGTGTCACCCAGTGTAATAGTGTTTTTTTTTCATAGTCAACAGTGGGGCTCTGTGGCACAGAGGAAATTCTTATTAGTACTAGGATTAATTCACATTCGGGTTTAGTCTTTACATTGGTTTTTTGACAATAAGAAAAATATAAAATATCACAAAACATATGCTTTAACCCTCATAATGTCTTGGTTTCATTTTTGACCCCATTTCAATGTTCTTTATGTCATAAATATGGCATTTTTTAAAATCTAATTTCACCAAAATAACATGGATGGTTCCATAGTATGGTAGCTCCCCATAAAATCAATTTTGACCACTTTCACTGAATTTTTGGTGTTTGATTGAACTTTAGAACACTTGTGTTCTTCCCTACCGTAATTTGACTCAGGTTTTGACCTTTGTTTGACAACAGGTGTTATTATTTGTCACCATTGAAAAAAAATAAATGCTTTCAAAACAGGGTCCTGAAAACTTTGACATATACCAGACTGTGATAATCAATCAACATATATCCCTATTATATTAACTATAGTCTAAATCTTTCCGATTTTTAGCTTTTTTTAAAACAAAAAAATGCAATATAATTTCGCATAAATGAGGTTTACTGACCCTAAATTATAGAAATTTGGGTCAAGCTTGGTGTTAATGATGGGAAGGCATTATGAGGGTTAAGCAGTTGACGCAGTTGAGGCACGACACACAAGCAGGTTCAGGCTGCACAATCTGTTCAAAATGTTTACTTGGCACAGGAAAAGCAGCATTAAAGAATCATCTCCTGCCTCCCTTTGTTGGTAGCACTCCTGGGGTTTCAGTGGACCTGGCCAGAGAAAAAACAAGCCCAGTGCTGACCTCATGCTTCTCAAATGATCAACGCAGGGTGTCTTTCATATGCTTTGATCCAGGATGAGGTAACTGCAAGCGAACACCTCCGAACCCTCAATGCCCAGTGACCTCACAGGGCCGCTCAGTCAAAGCACAAACCACCTGATTACAGACTCATTCAGGTTTGTTTAATACTCACTAGACTGACAAGGGGGATTAGGAGAGAGTGTGAGATGAAAGATGTGTTTGGCTGCATTCTCAGACAGCCTGTGATTAGCTGGGAGACACCGAAAGAGGAACAAGGGGAGATTAACCCATTAATGTGCTCAAGTGGTCAGATTATTATTTACAGGTTGAAGAAATGGCATGACTAATTTGTCTGGTTAATTTGCTCCAAGCTGAGATGTACAGATATGTATTAGAAGTGGTTTGGACGTTGGAAAAATTATCTTTTTGTACTAATGAACGTTTTCTAAAATTAGTTATATGATACGATAGATAAAGAGGATGACATTGAACAAGAAAGGGTAAGAAGAGAGAGAAAGGGGGGAGGGGCAGTCAAACACAGGGAGGAGATCAAAGCAGTGGCCTCCAGTGTTCAGTCCTGAGTGGAAAGAGTGCGTGTGTGTGTGTGTGTGTGTGTGTGTGTGTGTGTGAGTGTAAATGTGTTATACCATCTTCAAAGACGTTCAACAGTTCAACAGTTGCCCACTGCCCCTGCTCATGACGTCTTCAAGATACACACACACACACAGACACAGACTCACTTTCTGATTCATCCTGTGAAGTGAAGAGAATTATCCTACATGTCACGTATTTCTGCTAAAAATCTTCTGTTTGGTCAGATTTGGATTGTGTACGAGTTTGATAGCCAAACTTTTAATACATTTCAATATAAGCTACAATACGGTATTTTATGGAAGAATCTTTCAAAAACTTTGTAGCAAATTATGCTATTCACCAACTTACCTGTTTATCATCACCAAAATGATTAATTGACGATAGAAGAGCTTGTATATTAAAAGGTTACATTAACATGTATATATTTTGAGGAACAGCATTATACACTTTTAGTATGTGCAAACTGTCACGATTTCATTAAAAAAAAAGAAAAACTAGATGGTACACAACAATAAGTTGTGTTTTGGGTTTTGGGTAAAGCATTACTTTACTTAATCATGTACATCCGTAATGTGGCCTGAGATCACATAATATGAACTGCATTTAACGGGACAAACTCACTCAAACAATCTCACTTGAGTCGCTAGCTCGCTAAATTATGGCTTAATAGTGGACTAATGCAGGTTATTTGACGTGATTATCAATCGTTTGTCAGACAACTTCTCAGAGTCACAACACTGCCCCGGCTGAAGAGCCTCTCCGTGGGCACACTGATGGTGTCATTGTATTAAGTTTCATAGATATTGTAGGGAAACGGTTCAGGATCTCCATCTCCGACCCCGACTTGAAATATTCAATGAACTTAGTGTCAGAGTTTAAGAAAGCTGTATCCTCCTCAGTGAAAGCAAAGAAGTCATTCAGGCGATTGATGAGCAATGTTATTCTGTCCATGCCGATAATTAAAGAATGTATGTAACGACTGTCATAACTGTTTGATTAGTAACTGTAATGTGATTACTGATTCAGAAATAATAATGCATGTTACATTAGTGTGTTATGGACAAATGCAACAATGTTCAATTATTGTATGCTAAACTGTTAGCCTGAGCAGCTTAGCCAATAATCAATAAACCAATAAACACTAGAGCAACCAGACGGAGACTGCCTGAAAAGACGGGTCTTGGTTCACTACAGCAGACCCTGGTTTTAAGCAATTGTGTGATAGCAGATAAGAGATTTTAGCATAATATCAAAAGCTTAATTACTATTGAATCCATCTTTTCTCCCTATCTGTATAAGCGATGTATAGCATATAGTTATACAAGGTTATTTTGTAACCATGGTAACACATTTGCATGTATACATGCATAACAGCATGAAAAGATGTATTACGCTTGTGTCAGACTCTGTATTTTAGCAATTAAAAGTAAGACACTGCAACCATACAGTAACTATCCTCCAACAACATTATGACACATAATGTGTCTTATTAACCATGTTTCTACTTGTCCCTCTTTTCACATATGAGTTCCAGTTCCAATCTCGATTAATCTCATAAATTATTACTTTGTTCTTGAGTTGGACCCACATGGCGCTGCTGATGATGCACAATGTCAGTCACTAAAACTGTCGAATAAATTAGTTGTGTGTCGTGACTTTATGTTAACAGCTTTTGGTTCATTTGTAGTCAGTGTGGCCATAAAATGGTTACTTGATCCTGGTCAAATGAACCAAAATATAGTTGTGAAAGCGACACAGCCACACCCCACTGGTGTTTTGACTTATGCTGCCTGATCAAACTCTCGAGACTCTGTGGGTGTGTAAAGACTGACTTAAGATGTATGATAATAATGTGTAATGCAGCATTACAGCACATCTGAATACACAACATTCACTGCGTGTAATTCCTCTCCAATGTTGCAGCAACACAGGCTACAGTCTGCTCGATCACACTTATCATATGATGTTTTGAGCCAAGTTATCGGCACGTAATGTTTTGTGCGCAGTGAGCAAACTCTGGTATGTTTTGTACAGTTGGCTGTGTGTGTGTGGGTGTGTGTGTGAGAGAGAGAACATCCTGTTCCTTTAGCAATGAGGACAAGGAGACACACAACAGAAACAATAAGTCACTGAAGGTTTCAAGTGTTTACCTACCCGCGGTTTGGAGGAAGGCCTCAGTCCGAGATGGGATTGGCGACACTGCAGGGGGAGGGGAGACAAAATATCAGTCATCAAAAAGATTTATTATTTACTATTTAACTGTAAAACACAGTTCTGTCACCGACAAACAAATATTAGGGGTGCAGTTCACCTGCTTGTAGAGTTTACACACCTTTTTTAAAAATAAATACAAAATGAAGCAATATAGAGAAGAAAACTGAGATTTCAGTCTGATTAGGTGATTGTGAAGCCTTGAGGAGAGGACAAGACTTTTTAGAAGCTTCACGTGGCATTTCCAAACGTCACTGTTTTTAATAATTTGTTTTGCGTAATGCACTTCTGAACATTGACAGATTTGATAGTGGACACTGATGACTTCACACGCAACTTCAAACACTTTGACACAGGCTCCAGCTTTCATCCATGATGGTGGCACCCCGGAGGCTCCCAATAATAATGAGGCCAAATCCTCATTATCGTAACAAGAGATCTAACGAAGTGAAAGTTTCTGATTTAATAACATTATCAATAAAATAAAATAAAACAAAAATTGAGAGACCTTCCCCCCTTATAATAGACAATTGAGCTTGAGTCCCCCCTGCTTGCCATCACTGTAAGTTGTCTTGGTGCATTAACTTCACCTAAAGGCTGCAAATGCAAAATGTAAATGGCTGCATTTAAACTGTGGGCATTAAGACGACTGGAGCCATTAGTAGTATTTAAAGATGAACATGTTAGAGTTTTTCACAGAGGAGACAGAACAACGAATCCTAATGAGTCTTTAAAAGGCTCAACGTGAAACACCCAAAGGAGTTATTTACAAAGAAAAAAACTTGGCAGAATGGTAATGAAGTCCCACATGGGAAGAAACACACACACACACAAATACACAAAGACATGAACACACACAGTTTGAACACTGACAAAGACATTATTTGATCTACAGACTCTAAGATTTTAACACACAGTGCACACATACGCACACACACACACCACTGCCCACAGAACGTCTTCTAGTGCAGCAAAGATATTGTTTGATGTAGAGATTCACATTTTTTTCTTAAACACACACAGTTACACACATAAACACACTGCTGCACTCAAACCTTAGATGATTTGATGTAAAGACTTTTTCTTACCCACAACACACATAACCACAAACACACACACATGCACAAACACACCTTCTACCCCAACAAAGATATTATTTGATCCAGAAAGAAAGAAAGCAGGAAGCAGCAGTAAACCTTCAGGAGGAAGCAGGCTTTTATTTTACGAGACGCACCATCTGGAGATTTTTGGGGGTATGATGGAGAGTAGGTGCGAGATTGGGGTGAAGGAGGGTATAAGAGGAAGAGGGCAAAGGTGACAGTTGAGCAGGTGGTCATATGCTGCCCACATTTGTGCTGTACACTAATGTAGCAGCCTCAGCAAAGGGGTCGATGGCGAGATGGAGGTGATTTATGTATCCCAGAGGTGACTGATGGAAACTTGGAAGAAAATCTATTTACCTTTGATACAAAAAGCCCTGCGTTTTTTCTACAGGCTTACTGTGACCCAGTGGGTTTTCTCAGTCGTTCATGATAACATGTTCCTGGAGTTTTTTAAGGATGAACTGGATCCTACAACTGTACTTGTCTTTTTTACAAAGATATTAAAATGATAATTTTATTACGATTAACTACAGCTCCCATGAGGCCCGAGAGAGCTGAAGTGTCATTTTATCCAGAGTGTCTGTTATTGTTAAAAAGTCTTAATCTACAAATAATGAATTTGAATTGAATGTATAAAGACATTACTGTGCCATTATACACTATGATATGCTTAATTGCTTTTTCAATGAAGGATGGCATATTTTAATGGAATTAATGAAATACGGACACCCATGAGTAATTAAATATTAGCTTAATTTCATTTGTTTGTTTGATGCATCTCTTTTTTGCATGTGAGCAAGTAAAACTAGCCTGTTTAAATAATAGTTGAAACAAAAAGGTGAAATATGATACATTTATTACTGCGTCTAGAGGAGACTGCATTAATGTTGGCAGCAGAATGTTTCTTATCACTCTTTTTCATTTATTTATGATGAATTAATTTTTCGTTTATATAGAGTACAAAAATGCACACAAAATAAATGAAGTTCAGTTTTTTTAAATCAATGAAAAATCTGAAACCAATCCTCCCACAGCCACATACACTGTGAAAACACAAACAACAGTGAGGTTGGAGGAAATTATGAGATTGGGGGTCACCATTTGGCACATGATGGAATATCAGTTATCACAAACTGGACTTTTCTGCAAATATATGAAGATGAACAACTACATCTAAATTCTATGAAATTTAAAATAGCAAATACATTATTACAGGTGAAGTGAATAACACTG